TATATATATATATAGATGTATATCATCTGAACAAAATCTATTGGTTTTATATTATTATTAAGAAATGTATTTGATATTCCACGAACACAATTACTTGATGTTGTTATGAAATTACGTCGACAATTATTACATAATTCAAATAATTATGATATACAAGATGAAGATAGTTTACATTCTGTACCTATTAAAGAAATGTCGAATTATGATGAATATCCTCGTACACATGGACAAGCACCACCACTAAGAGAAATTGATGCTCAACCTGTTAGACAACATGTTTTTGGAAATCCATTTAAAGTTAACAAAGTATGAAGAGATCTCTAAGTAGAAATTAAGAAAGTTTCTTTTTTGATTTTGAAACTGTAGTTCATATTTTAGACTAATTGTTTTTTATTTTTTTAAAGCCTATCGATGAAATCGATGAGTTAGTTGGAGCAGCTGCTGTTCCTCAACAACAACAATTACCTTCAAGGAAACGAGCACAATCTGAACAAAGTCTTACACTAGCTAGTGGTTCATTAAAAAAGAAACGAACACGTTCGTATTTATTTCTTTTTTTCTATTTTGTTTATTATCTCTCTTCTTTTTCTTATAGCTTTAGTTCTTAAAAATTATGTGTATCGTAGACATCTATCCATAAGCGGTAGTAGTGGTCCATCTAGTCCTGCAACTTCTATATCAAGTACTGATGATGGTTTGTATAGAATACTTCTTATTTTTCCATTGCTTAAATTTAATAAATTTAGAATCTGATAATGAATTAATTATAACCAGTAATTCATTAAATCGTTTTTCGTTTGATATGCGTTCTGTATTGGATGATGATCATCGTCGTCTATTAAAAAAATATCGTGAAACAAAAAAGAAAATTAAATTATTATTTCGTCAACAAGCTGATCAACGTAATAATATATCTTTGATTATTCTTATTGTTCTTTTTGCGAATAATTTTTTTTTATTTTTATAGAAATTTTAACCCTGTTGGATACATTGATTTGCTCAAATGAATATAAATTAACTTTAATAAATGAATTAATATATGAATGTCAAAGATTATATCCATCATTTGAGTCTCGTCTTAATCAATATAAAATGAATATTGTTAATGATCTATCATCGAAAGAAGATGAGCTACCATCATCATCTTCACTGATCTCTAACGATTATATGTGATATTTTTTCTTGTAAATTTCTTTTTTTTGTTATTCCAGATAAATTGTTAATGATCTATCATTAAAAGAAGATGAAACAACCATCATCATTTTCAATAATTTCTAATGATTATATGTGATATTTTTTTGTTGTAATTCTTCTTTTTTTTTTGGTATTCTAGATAAATAATAATGTCAACAGGAATTGGTAAATGGGGAGATAAACATGATGATTATTATGTTGGTCCCGCTCGTCGTCCATTTGATCAAGAGTATGATAAAAAATCCGCATTTGAATTTACAAACCGTTCATTTGCTCGTCCACAACCATGGCGTACATATCCAGTTTTAGGTGGTGAAACAGGCGATGAATTAGATACACATCCATTAATAAAAGAACAGCGAGATAAATTATTACCAAATAAATCATTAAATCCGGAATATAATCGATATTTTGATGAAAAAACTGATAATAAAGATGGAAAATCACAAATACGAGAAGATCATTTAGCATTGTTTTCACCACAAGCACGAAAGGTATAATTTCAAATAAAAATTTGCTTTATGAGACTTCGTTGTCATTCAACGATAGGGTTGTGACACCCCTCTGTTCTAGACATATAATTAAACTGAGTTTCTGCATTCGAATTTTCTATTTTTAGGTTATTCTTTTTGATATGGGTATAAAACCAGGTGAAGGTGATCTTGATCGTGATTATAACAATGATCCACGTTATCGTGTTTGGGGCATGCCGTATTTCATAGCTCCATATGATTCACGTGTGCTTTTTCCACTCAGTTTTTCAATCATGGTATTAATGCGTAATATGTATTTACGTCGACCATATTTTTCAGCACGACCTGTTTATGCTGCAGCTTTAATTGGTGGTTATGTATTTGGTTCATGGTGGGGAAAATTTCGTGAACAACGTATGTTAGAAAAAGAGTTACATATATGGGATTATGTTCGACGACATCAAGAAGATTTCCCTGAAGTCTTTGAAAAACGTCGAAAATATAATGAAATTTTTCAATCCTGGAGACCTTTACGTTAGAAAAAACCAAGAAGAAAACATTATGATCCTTTTTCTTTGGCATCCCCTTTTTCAAAATTGCATATCATCCCTACTGGTTTTTTTGTAGAATAAAAATAAAACAATCACACATCTTCTATTTGTTTCTTTAACAATCAAAATGAATAGTTGTTTGATCATTTTGTTCAATTAATTTATTATTAGGAGGAGATATAGATGATAGATCACTATTTGATAGAAGAAAACCTTGTGAATTTTCTGTACGAATAAATAATGTTGGTGGCTATGAAAGAGAGAGAGAATATTTTTTTCAAAATTCAATTAAAATTTTTACTCGATGTCGAAGTCGTTTTATCATTCGTTTACGTGTAGCTGAATTTGAATGATCACCACTTGATCTATCATTCGATTTCAGAGTTAATAAAGGTAGAATTATTCTTTTAGTTTTATCTAATGGAATAATAGTTGTTTTTCGACGTTCGTGTATAATATAAAAAATGAGAAAAGCAATAATTAATAATAAAATACCAACAATAAAAGAAAGATAAACAATAACAAGATCGATCATAGGGAGAATGTGAATTATCGATTGTTTTATAATAAAAGATTATTAATTGAAAGTAAAATAAGAAAGAAAAAAGTGAACAAAATTTTTACTCGAACGAAACAATTAATTTTTTTTTATTAATAACGCGCTTATATATGATTTATTTCAGATGCCTTTATTTCATTTTGGCAATTGTCTGGCTTTAGCCTGTGGTCCTGTTTTATTAACATATAAATATTCTGGTTTGTAAGTAAAACTGAAATTGAGCATAGCACAATTTCATGTATCGATAAAATTTCTAGAGCGGAATACAATGCATTTTGGAAATGTGTTCAATCAGCTGCTTTTTATTTGTTTGTTCAATTTGTTAAAATGCTTACTATAGCAACATGTTTTCCTCCGGTCGATGAATCATCGGCATTCGTTGTTAAAACTGTAATATTAATTTTTGTTTTTGTTCTTTGATTTTATTTCTATATTGTAGGAGTTTCTGAAAAATACAGTTGATATATTAGATTTAGTTGGTTTACATTTTGTAATGACACGTATTTGTGGTAAAACTGATTTGAAATATCTAGTCGCTGCACTTGGTTGGACATCAGCTGAACTTGTTGTTACAAAGTTTGTTTTTAGCTTTATTTTATTAAAACTAATGATGTTTTTAATTTTAAATAGATTTTTACCATTATGGGTAGGTGCTCGTGGTATTGAATTCGATTGGAAATATATTCAAATGAGTCTTGATTCGAATATTGCATTAGTAAATAATTTTTTTCGAGAAGATAAATGAAAATCTTATTTTTAATTATAGATTCACCATTTATCAGTTGCTACACTTATTTGGCTTCGTACTCGTAACGATTTGAATAAATCTTATGTTCCTTTGATTAACGTTCTTCTTTTACTTTGTTGTTATCGGCCATTAATTTTAGAGTAATAGTTTTTAATTTTATTTAAATAAATATTTATTTTGTTCTTTCTTTCTTTTTAGAGTATTCATGCATGCATTTGGCCTTGGTCCATGGGTTCATTTATTATCAAAATTTTTATTTACATCATCTGTTGGTTTAACAACTCTTCAGCTTTATTTATCATTACCAAAGAATAATTAGTTCACTTTCGTTATTTAGATATGCAATAGAACAAACTCATGAATGTCTAGGCTTATTAGAAGTTGTTGTTTTGATGTTGAGAATGTTTGTCTTTTTCGTCAAGATTTATAATAAAAAAAAACAGATCAAGAATACTGTTGAATTTTTTCATATTTTGAATGCATTCGACTGTCATTACTCAATAATTATTGTATTCAGAAAATAAAACAGCAGTACAACTGAGATTTTTATTCATTATTTAAGCGTATAAAAAATAAATGTGAATAAAATGTACAGCAATTATTTTCTCTGCAAAAATTAATAGCTTATACAAAGATTTTATTATTATTATTCACTATAACAAAAGAAGAAATTTTCAAATGTTACTTTTATAGCTAGAGCAAAATAATAGATAGGGAAATTGGAGATCCATCAATAAATTATATAATATGAAGTTGAGAAAAAAATAAGAAAATAACTCTTTTATTCTGTTCAAATAATTGAACAAAGTATTCTAAAGTTTAGAAAATAAATTTTATTTTATTTAGTTGATATAGGTGTTGGATTTGTTTCATTATTTTGAGCAATTGTAAATGCTTTGGATGCACATAAACTAAGACCATGTGAATGATAATCCATTCGATAATTTGTATTATGATCATGTTTACCCTTATTATTAACTGTTCTTACTTCAGGTATACAAGGTTCAGCTGCTCTACCTATATTAACAAATGGTATATACTTTAACTGAATTTACAATAAATTACCTAATCTTCCTTGAAATGCATCGCCTGTTGTTGTTGTTCCTTCAAATTTATCTTTTAGTGGGATATAAACACTAGGATGTGGATCACCATAACGTCGTCTAGTTGTTTCAGGTTTATAAGGTCGATAATGATAGCGAGACATAGTTACACTTTCCATTGGACCTGTTTGATCTTTTACAGATAAATTCGTTTTTGTTGGTTGACCGCGAAGACGTGGTAATGCAGTTACATCAAGCGGTTGAAAATCTCGCTATGAAAAAAAAAGATTATAGTTTTTTTTAAACTGTTAATATAAGAATTACTTGTGTCACTGTTAAAGAATCCATTTTTTCAGTTGGAATTGCATAAACTCGATTTTGTGGTCCTGCAGGAGGTGGTCGATGATGATATTTTGCATCATAACCTGGATAATCAACACGATATTGAGTATCTCTAGAAATAATAATCATTTGATTCTTTTTAGATATTGAATTTTAATTTCTCAAAACTAACTTCGTTACTGATGAAAATAAATCTCCTATATTAATTTGTGATTGAAATGGTTCATTATCAATTAATGGTGTTCGTCGTTGATATGAATGAGGACGAAAATCATGGGTTGTTTGTGAAATTCCATTCATAGGACGACGTGTATAAATTTTTTCTTCATGTGATGTAGCTGTTGTTTTTATCGGAGCACTTCTTGTTGCTGATAATTTCGGTGTAGCATAATCTTGTCGATAATTTGTATGTAAATCCATTGTACCAGTTGTTCGAAGATTTTCATTAACTTCAGGTCGAAGAAATGGTTTTGCTTGTGAAATATTAGAATATTGTACAAATGTACGTCCACTTGTTGTATCAAAAGTACGATTTGAATTAGGAAAAACAACATGACCTAAGAAGAAATAAGATTTTGATTGAAAATAAAAAATCTATTTGATATGTTTTTTACCAGCTAATGCTGGCATTTCAGTATATGATTGTACCGGTACTGGTTGCCATTGTTTAAAATGAGCACGAGATGTTGTTTTCGATGAAATAGCTGCTGATGGATCAGTTATATTGACTCTAATTTAATATAAAAATATTACTTCTATTCAGATATAAAAGTAAAGATTAAATTTTACTGAGTTCCTTTAACTACATCTTTTGCTGTACGATGTACTACTGATCCAACAGGTTTTTCAATATATTCAGTTGTATAATGAGTTTGAGTTTCCATTGGATGATTACCACCTGATACAATATATTTATCGCTCTAAAGGAAAATTAGTAATATTCTATCATATTCACACAAAAAAAGGAGATGAATACTTGTTTAGCTGGTGATACTGGCTTTGGTTTATGAGTGCCTGCTGGTGGTGGTGGATAATGTTCTTTTTGAGTATTAATAGTAGACATAGGTACATTGATAAACGATGTAGGTATTTCATTATCAGGTACAGGTGGACACAATTCACGACGATGATTCTCTGTTGGTGCTACAAATGTTCCTTGATAATGTGAAAGTGGACAACGAGCAGCAAGAGATAATTTTGATCGTGGTTCTAATCGATTTTTACATCCTGGATAATGTTCATTACCACATTTTTCAAAACAACCATCATCACAAAGTTCACATGGGCATTTAGTAAACTTTGGTATATCAGCAAGTTTTAATTTAGAAAGATTATTCAGGTTGTCTAATTTCATTGCTACTTTTTTTTTTCTTAACACTCAACAATCAACAGAAGTATTAAATGATGGTAACTATTTGATTTTGGTTTCTTTGCAACAATATAAACATTTAGCAAAAAAACGAAGAAAGAGAAGAAATCGACAAAGAAAAACATAGTGCCATCAACTTTGATGTCTTCGTTTTATGTGTTCCGGCGTGAAGTGAGCAGAAAAAAAGACTTCAATTTTGTTCTTTCAATAAAACACATGCTAGTCTGATTTTAATTGGTAGTTTTTAACAAGTGAAACATCGATTCTTACATTGTTAAGATATAGACATAAATAAGATTTACTATGTCAGTAAAAAATAGAATAGTGAAGCTATTATCAATACGTCGTCATTTCGGTTGATGATTCTCTGAATATCTCTCTCGTTCTAAACATATTATTAATATATCGAAGGTATTAACGGATGTTTCAATTCTTGTTAAATGTGAAATTAATAGTCATGCAAAAAAGCTTTACAATGACTTATTATTATGACAGGAATGATATCCTATTAATAACATTCTAAACTAATTCAGCTCCAAGATTCTAATACCTTCCGAACTGTTGCATATATATATAACATAAGAATTTCGGTTAGAAACAGAAAAATTTACCTTCTTTATAAGTTTACGATTACATTAAATATGATAACCATTCATGTGAAACCCATTAGCGACGAGCTTGTGAATACATCTTGACGACAAAAGCTCGATGCCAGATAGGTGACTAATGAATGAAATATATAATTACTAGCATTATTATTTACTTACTTAGTTAAAATCTTTCTTGTTCTATATTTCTTATTCGTTCAATTATAGAGAAATTGTGTTCATGCATTATCAGTATATATAAGTCTAATACAGCACACACTCAATTTATATAATGGATACAAGAAAAATAGATTGTTTTCTAAGGAGAATAAAAGTATCATATGTTGACTAAAAAATTAGTTAGTTTCATATGTCTATCTTCAATCATTGAATAAAGGGCAATGGAATCATGAGATGTAGTAATGACGACAATCATCATACACATATATATATATA